AGGCTCAGTGTATTTATTCAATAGGTAGAATATATCAGCTTATAACATGTTATCATCACAAAAAACCATCATTGATAAAATTTTTTAGATAAATCATAAATATTTATCTATGAGAGATAATTTTATTTAAGACAGAAATATCAATATTATAATGGGGCTAACCTTCGTTGATAAATTTTTTGTTTTTGTTTGAATAACATATCTATAATACAATTATGTCATTTTGAATGGCTTATCCATGACTGAATGTTGCGGTGGGTGCACTAAAAATGCTCGTTCTCTTCTCCCCCACTTCTCTCACCCTCTTAAATGCTTAAACTGAAACAAAATCCATTGACTTCTGTTTATTTGTATTTTTTAAAAAGAAAATATTTTTAACTAAAATATATATTTTAAAATAATAACAACTAAAAAATGTTTTAAATTTTTTTAGTAAAAGTAATTATAACTTTTTTTTACGTTAAAAACGTAGCTTTTAAAACAATAATCATAAAAATGTTTTTTTAAAATTTTCTAAATACACTCTTGATATATATAGGAACATAGATCAAATATTACAATTTGACAAATTTTTTACTCAAATACCACATGAACAATACTTTTTATAAGACTGCCACGCGCCGACATGTGGCACATTTTCACAAGAAAAGCTGACTAAACCAAATTCGCTATCAATAGCGAATTTGGTACGTTATTAGACACACGAATAATGCCATGTGAGCAGTGGCGGACCCAGGAATTTTTCCTGTGGGGGGCTAAAAATTAAATATTTGTTTATCTCTTCAACCACAATATGTGGGAGGCCGAAACACCAATCCAGAGAACATAACTCATAAATACCTCTTTTAACTTGTTATAGAGAGAAAGAAGGGGACATAGAGAGATGGAAGATGTCACAGTAAAATCTACTATCAATTTGAAAAAAACTACATCTTTTCAACCCCTAAAATGAACATTTTTTATGCAGAGAAAACAAAGAAAAAGAGAAGAGAGTAAAGGTTTAGATTTCACAAAAAATATGTACAAATTACTATAATATAAAGAAGAAATACAATCAGAGTTAGGGGGTTTCAATAGATATAGGACCTGAGAATATAAAGAAGTTCTATAGACTCTTTTGGTGAGAGAAAACTACTTCACATTAATTGAGAGAAAAAATGAAAGTTTCTTGTATTATATTTATGTTAAAAAATTTCTTCAAATTTTGAGGAGGGCGGCCGCCCACCCTAGCACCCCCTTGGTCCGCCCCTGCATGTGTGAGGAAAGTATTGGCAATGAAGTTCGCCACCCGTGATAGTAAACTTTGACACGTGACAATCTGATAAAAAACACTGTTTGTGTGGCATTTTGATAAAAAATTTGTCAAACAGTGATACTTTGATCATTGCCCTTAATATACGTGTATTTCATATTTTCCCCCCGTTTTCTCAAAATATTTCTGCGACATGGTCATGTAATCCTAATCACAAGGTGTGGGTAATGACATTCTTAATCTTTTACCGCACAAAAAGTTTGTCTTCCTCACATGATTAAGTAAGAAATCTTACACTTAAATTTAATTATTGATACTAAATTATGGTAATTCAGTTAGTGTGTATGAGCTGAGTAGGTGGTAAAAATATCTCAGTTCAATTCTCATAATATCATCTTTGAGAGGGTATAAAATCTTAATTAGTGACCAATCTCACACTAGGGATTAATCCAATAGCCGATTCAGAAAATCGAAGCTTGTGGGGATACGTTGGGAGCCTATTTGCCCCAAAGAGATAATTATGATTTATATCTGTAAAGAATCAATTTAACCCAAAAGCTTAAGCTTGTGGGTGAGGACTTTTTTAATGGTTTATAATATTCTCTAACACACTCCCTCACACAAGAGCACATTTGGCTTGAAGGGTGGACAATGTACATGCCCACTTACATGTACTAAGAAAATTCCATAAGAGAAAGTGGGGGATGTGAGAATCAAACCCGAACACTGAGGCTCTGATACCATGTAAAGAATCAATTCAACCCAAAAACTTAAGCTTGTGGGTGAGGACTTTTTTAATAGTTTATAATATTCTATAAATATCTTAAAAAAAATTAATTATTGATTCATTTACATTTAACAACTCATATATTTAATAAATCAAAATTATTACATATGAATAAGATTAATAACTAAAATTGAGAATGTGATTTGTATATATATATATATATATATATATATATATATATATATATATATATATATATATATATAAGATTAGTATTTTTTATATTATAGGAGATAATATTATCTCCTACATACACATAAAATTATCTTTTTCTTTTTCTTTTCTTCACATGGCCACCCATATTTTTATATGTATGTAAGAGATAAAATTATTTTTTATAACATGAAAAATATTATTTATATATATATGGGAGAGGTTATAGTTACTACCTCTTATTGTTACTACTAAATCGTAACCGTTGATTTCCGTCAATTTAACGGTTATAATTTATTGGGTCATATTTATTAATTTCCAAGATATTATAACCGTTAGATTGACATAAATCAACGGTTACGATTTAGTAGTAACTATAACATTTCCCTATATATATATATATATATATATATATATATATATATATATATATATAACCTGAGTGATATACTATGGGAGTGCATTGTATCAAGTTGTGAACTACTATCGAATTGCCGACCAATATCTTAGTGCACGTCTAAACATGCAGCGTTTGACCATTATTTTATGAGATTTAATTTCAGAATATAAAGATTAGAAGAAATTTGCAAGACAACAAACATAGACACAGTTAGCTAAGGGTTTGATTCATATCACATAAGAGCATGAATTCAAATCCTACTGGCTAATGTAAGTAAGAATTTTGTTGATAAGTGATCTGTAATTCTTTCCCGAAATCTTCAAAAAAATTGTGTGATCTTTTCTGACTTTAGTGGAATACTCAATATCTAATCCCACTTAAATTTTTACAATAAAAAAAAAAAAAAATCATCATTAATGATGGTTGTAGTTGTTTGAAACATCCAACAGTATTGCATGTGCTCGATCATTTTCTTTTAATAAGGTCGCTTGTTGTTTTCAACTAACATACACCACTGGTATAATGGCATGTACCTAATTAAGTTTTTTTCCATCGCTGGCAGGTGAGGATTCTCTTGAATCCTCAAATAGATTTAGTCAAAACATATATGAATTTATTACACATAATATTGATGTCTCACAGTTATGCCAATCAAATGGCATACAAAATACTACTTGATATCAATTGACACTTTATTTGATTATGAAGTTAAGTCATATTTTCTCCCAGTGGCAACGTATATAGCAATGCTGCTCAGAAATTCACTAACATCCAGTTTGTTAAGCTGATACAATATTTAGTTACAAATTTTTTGCTTTCCGAGCTCGGTCAATTTAGATGTATGTATATTTATTTATAAAATTCATATGTTAAACATTCAAAGATAAAAAATTATAACGAAGGAGTTTGAGAATTCATAATTTTGACATTCATATAAGTATCTCAAGTTGAACCAACTTTTGTCTATGATGAAAATCGATATTTTAATTTGTTAAACTAGCAGTACAGTTGTAACGGATGCATGTTTGGAGGTAAGCCCAATTCAAGCTTTAGAGGAGAAGGCTAAACGGGCCCGCAAGCAGCCCACCTATTTAAAAGACTATGAGACTAGTTGAGGATATGGGGTTCTAGTAACTATCAGCTTTATTATGTCATTTTATAACTTTTGAATTACGGTAGTCTTATTTTGGATTGGTGGCCCATTAGTAATAGGGCACTATATGATGACTTTGATTTAGGGTAATAGTAAGCAGAAGTTGATTCACCTTCTCTCTCCTTATTCTCTCTCTCCTCACGTTCCCTTTCTTCTCCTCGTCTACCTATTCTTCCCTGGAGATCTTAAATTGTTGCTACATTTGGTGCTCTCGTTGCTGATTCAACCTCCCATACCATGGCTGAAAACACTCGGATGCGGGATGTAACTCAACGACTGGAGACATTGGAACAACAAACTCACCGCTTAGACATGCTGGAACAACAATTGCGTTCAGCTGAATTAGTACGTGAACAACAACATTTGGACCTACAAGAGTCCAACGCTCAGTTACAGGAGTCTCAGACTCAAATCAAGCTAGCATTACAGCGTATACTTGATGGGCAACATTCTGGTGGTTACTCTCATTCTGGTCTACTTGGTTCTGGCCCGGGGTCAAAGTCTAACGCTAGCAGTTCAGATCTGGGCAAACAACGTCCATTTAAACTCATTTTTCCCAGATTTTCTTCTGGTGACCCAACCTCTTGGCTTTTTTCTGTGGACAAATATTGTCAGTATTATCAAATTGGTGATGAAGAACGATTACTAATTGTGTCGTTCCATTTGGATGATCCCGCGGCTTGCTGGTTTAGGGGTCTTAGTGATGAGGGTTTACTCCCAACTTGGGCTTCATTTATCACAGCGTTACACAGACGGTTTGGCCCTTCTGAATTTGATGAACCCATTGGTGCCCTAGCTAAGTTACAACAACAGGGTTTGGTTATTGATTACCAATCTACATTTGAAGCTGCTGCCAGTAAGGTTCCTGGTTTATCAGCCACTATGAAACGTGGTCTTTTTATTTCAGGACTCAAACCTCGCATCCGTCGTTCAGTGCTCACTCAACGCCCTACGGATTGGCATGAAGCATTAGCCTTAGCCAAAGTTTTTGAGGACCAGCAATTTGACGAAAAACCCATGCGGCCTTGGCTTGCTCGACAGCCCACAGCCACTACTCCCACTTCCCAACACCAGTTTTTGTCACCACCCAAAATCATTACTCCATTGGGCCTCACATCCACCATTCAACCTAAACCAATACCCGCTATTCCTATTCGCCGTTTATCTCCAGCTGAGATGCAAGTAAGGAGAGAAAAAAATCTTTGTTTCAATTGTGATGAAAAATTCGTTTATGGACATAAATGCAAAGCACGGGCTTCCCTATTGTTTTTGGAAGGCCCAGAAGAAGATGAGCCCCCAGATCCCATAGTCCCAGATCCCACGGAACCTGAACTACAATTGGAAGAACACAATGATACCCCGGAGATAAGTTTCAATGCCTTATTTGGTACTTATTCTTCGAAATCATTCTGTTTAACTGGTTCTATCTTTGGCCAATCCATCCAAATTTTAATTGATGGAGGGAGCACACATAATTTCATTACACCGAGAGTAGCTACTCATTTGCATTTAACTCTGTTAGCTGTTCCACAATTTAAGGTACAAGTGGGGAATGGCGATTCCTTAACCTGTTCAGCTATGTGCCAATCTGTTCCTTTAAATATTCAATGTAACAAATTTCCATTGGATTTGTTTGTTTTGGAATTACAAGGAGCTGATATTGTGTTAGGTGTTCAATGGTTGGCTACATTAGGACCTATTCTGACAGATTACCACAACATGACAATAGGCTTTACGCACCAAGGGAAACATGTCAGCCTACATGGTGACCAACGCATTGCTGCCAGTTTAATTACTTCCTCACAATTGCAAAAATTGTTAACACAAAAGTCCCTGGATTCATGTCTCATGTGCTTATCTGTTGTGACTACACCTAAGACAGCGACCTTACCACCTCCTACAAGTGTGGATCAGAATCCAGATGTTCAGCAATTATTGGACCAATATAGGGATGTCTTTGCAACTCCATCTTCCCTACCCCCTGATCGGCCCAACAATCACAAAATTCAATTAATCTCTGATGCAAAGCCTGTCCAAGTTAGACCATACAGATATCCTCACTTCCAGAAAAATGAAATAGAAAAATTGGTTTCCGAGATGTTGCACAATGGGTTAATTCGTCCTAGTCACTCAGCTTTTAGTTCCCCGGTTCTATTGGTCAAGAAAAAAGATGGGACTTGGCGCTTCTGTGTTGATTATCGTGCTCTAAATGCTGTAACTGTGAGTGATAAATTTCCAATTCCCACAATTGATGAATTGATGGATGAATTACACGATGCCACAATTTTCTCAAAGCTGGATCTACGCTCAGGATATCACCAAATTAAGATGCATCCTACAGACATACATAAACCAGCATTTCGCACACATCACGGCCACTACAAATTTTTGGTCATGCCCTTTGGATTGTCAAATGCACCATCGACTTTTCAGGCTACCATGAATCAGGTCTTCTCTGAATTTCTACGCAGATTTGTATTATTTTTTTTTATGATATTTTGGTTTATAGTTCCTGTCTCCAGGAGCACATTAACCATTTACAGCAGGTCTTACTAATTTTAAGGGAAAATTCTTTGTTCGCAAAGTTGTCCAAATGTCTGTTTGCCCAACCATCACTTCAATTTTTAGGACACATTATTTCTGGTGAAGGCGTAGCACCTGATCCCAGCAAAACTCAAGCGATTCAGAAGTGGCCTATTCCTCAATCTGCAACTCAAGTTAGAGCCTTCTTAGGCCTTTCCGGGTATTATCGTCGGTTTATCCGACATTATGCTTCCATTGCAGCACCGTTAACAGACCTCCTAACAAAAGATGGGTTCCGCTGGTCATCAGCGGCATCAGATGCCTTTGTCAAGCTCAAAGCTTCGATGACAGACACGCCAATATTAGCATTGCCCAATTTTAAGGAACCCTTTATTGTGGAGACAGACGCTTCAGGAATTGGAGTTGGTGCATTTTTGTTACAAAACAATCACCCAATTGCGTTCTATAGCAGGAAATTGGCACCCTCTATGCGCACCAAATCCACATACATACGTGAGATGTTTGCAATCACATCTGCAGTAGCCAAATGGAGACAGTACCTGTTGGGAGTACCGTTCACCATCCGCACAGATCACAAAAGCTTGCATAACCTTATGAATCAGGTTATCCAAACCCCGGAACAACAATCGTTCCTGTCAAAGCTACTGGGCTTTGATTACACTATTACATACAAATCTGGTAAAGCCAATATTGTGGCCGATGCTTTATCCAGACATCCAGAAGGGGTTTCTGATTCAAACACACCCCATCTGGCTGCTTTGAGTGGCGCAATTAGTGATTACAAATCCCTACTCCTACAAGAATTACAACAAGACCCATATTGTGCTACAATATTAACAGAATTACAAACAGAGCCAGCAAAATGGAATCATTGGAAAAATAAAGAGGGGTTGTTGTTCTTTCGCAATAGAATTGTGTTTCCATCTGCGTCGTCCATCATCCCTTATTTATTACATGATCTCCATACTTCAGTACAAGGGGGTCATTCTGGCCTCACTGGTACTCTGCAGAGGATTGCCCAAAGTTTCACCTGGAAGGGAATGAGAAAAACAATACGGCAGTATGTGGCCAACTGTGAAATCTGTCAAAAAATCAAACCTCCCAACCATTCTTCTCCATACGGTTTGTTAACACCCATCAAACCACCAGAAGAGACCTGGACTGATTTGAGTATGGATTTTATTACTCACCTACCACCCTCACACGGCTTT